TGAAGCTAGAGAAATTAAGCCACTGTTTGTCTTCCACTTGTTACGGTGAAGACTACAACAACTTGTTAAGTACAGATCTGAAAGCAAGTTAAGCTAGAGAAAATTAAGCCACTGTTTGTCTTCCACTTGTTATGGTGGTGAAAACTATAAAAATTTGTTAAGTACACATCTGAAACCAAGTTAAGCTGGAGAAAATTAAGACATTGCACTTGTTACGGTGAAAAGTATAACAATTTGTTGACTTTAATTTTTTAATTTTTCACGTGTAATTTCAGTTTAAAATATGCATAATAATATTTTACTGCTTGTATAAATAACAAACACTTGCAGTTTTGTGAACTACCTATAATTATGTTATTGTTGTTTGTTTTTTAGTGCAAAGCTATACACGTGGCTATCCATTGCGGGGAATCGGTTTTCAGATTTTAGCGTTGAAACGCCAGAAACTCTTTGCTGACCCACTGGAGTGCACGTAGTTAAGAAAACGTTAAATATAACTAGTGAATGGGAAGCATCTCGTATGCTTACCCTTGTTATTTGCAAAGATTCGTTTTGAAAGTAATGTTTTTGAATAAAGAAAGTTTATATTCATTGAAAAACATTACTCTAAAAAAATATGTTAATATCGGATTTGATAATATTTTATAAGTTATGTAATAAAATATTCTACTGGAAGCTTTAAATAACTCTATTCGTTTTGAAGAGCAGTTTTGTTCCATATGTTCAGTATATTATTTACAAGGTATTGTTCTCTGATGCAAAACATCCAAAGTTCCCATAGTTCCAGTCAAATTTACACTGGAAAAGAACAATGAAACGAATGATTATTTTTTGATACAGTTATATATTTTGTGTTATTCTAAGTAAATTTATTCACTTAATATGTTTTTCGTGACTGAAATATGCTTACCACATTTGCTTGCTTGCATATCTAGAAATGTCCAGAAATGAAAAAAAGACACAGAGTAAATCAAAGAAGAGAGCTTCAGGCAGTCGAGATGGAAAATTGAAAGTTTGTTTATTTTTATATGCATGATTTCTTAAATTATTTATTTCTGAAGGATTTACTAGTTTGAATAATTACAATAAAACTAATAGGTAGCAGATACATATTTATAAAAGCAGTGTTATAGGGAAAAACCATAACAAAAATGAGAATAGAGTGGTTTAATTGTAAATAGATAATAACTATAGGAATACGAGTCAATCAACCCATTCTTTTAAAACTAATACAAAAGTTGGGTATGTTATATGAAAATGGTTTTGGAGCCTCACGACGTCTTTAGTTTATGGCGCCATCCAGTAATGCTCCAACTCTACTTACTTATTGCTCAACAATATCAAAGTGTAGTTTTAATACACCCGTTCCACCGCGATTTTATGTTGGTTGTGGATGTCACGTAACTTCTTTCTCATTTGTATATTCAAAATCGTTTTAATACAACGATCCCAACCCTATTTATTATAACTCAAAAACTGACGTTAATGGTTCGTAGGTAACGAAGAAGTCAGTTTAGACAGTAATAAACATATATGCTTTTATCACACAAATTTCCATGAAGTAATTGCTACAGCAATAACTGGTCTTACTTGTTTTTTAAGGATCAAGGAGGTAAGAAAGAAATAAGCAGAAAAATGTCAGAAGAATGTACAGAGAAATACCACCATGAACATATTATGGAAACGACTTCAAAGAAATACAAACAGCTGTTACTATTACAGGTCAGTTCTAGTTTTGTGTACAGTACAAGTAGTCATTTATTAAGCAAATGTTACAGCTCGATGAGTTTTGGTGACCTTAAATTTAGTCGTGAGTATATAACTAATACATCTGCGCTAAGCTAGCTGTAATAGGACCACATAATATAATTTTTTGGTTGTTAAGTGTTTTGCTACTGAATAGACTCTAGAGAAAAGCAAAGATAACAAACTGTCAGCTAGTGTGTTTGATATTTTCCAAAGCCTATATTAAGTTTCATATAAATAAATTTAAGTTAAAAATCAAATTAGTAAATCTTATAATTGTTCGATAGATATAATTCAACCCTTGTTCCATTCGTAACTTATAAAGATTTTGGATTTCAACTCTACATTCCCATTTATAGTATTTCAATATTGAAGTTTTCTTTTTAAATTCTGATGTTTAAAAATAACTTTTGCAAGTCGAACAGAACTGAAATGAGAAATCGAAATGCCGGGCTCAAATATTACAACACACCTGAGCTCCATCTTCTTACCTTATAATATAACCTCGTCATGAAAAATTATCATAAAATCTATTTATTAATATATCACTTACAAACTCTATGATTAATTGTAATTCACAACATTACTTAGAATTTCAAGCAATATCCAGTCTAACACTCCACGTTCTTGAACTCATCGCTTATGCAGTCTTCAGTTTTCCTCTTTTTTTTTTTTTGAGTGGTGTTATTGGACCTAATGATCCATCCAAACCAGGAAACAACATTCGTAAAGGATCATAAGCTGGAACAAAGGCCACAATGGTTAAATTAAACTGTTAAAGAGGAGGGTTCCAGAATGTGAATGTTAATTAATATTGGTGTAAGACAACAAGTACCAAGGTGAATGAACTACATCTATCAATTTATTTATAAGAAAAAGAGGATGATGTGCGAAAGGAAGAGGCAATATGCTGAAAGTGAAGTGTCAAAAATTGAAAGAGGTTCATGAGGCAGACCATGAGTGAATAATTGTGTTTGGGAGTGATACATCTACAACATATTTTTGTCAAGCAAGCTTTCCAAAGTGATCACCACACTCATTGCCATAAATTCTGTGATGTGTTGGGAAACAGATAATTCGAACATCACAAAAACAATTGAATAATTGTCTCAGCAAGAATTAACATTCTCACTTTACAAATCAAACATTAGGATGTAAAGAGAGTCAGAATAGAAAGAAACATGAAACAAACGGGCTCCCTAATCAAGTATCCCAATTAAAAACAAAACTAAGTAGTTAGTTCTACTCTAAGCATTCCAATAAAATCTCTAAATCAAAAGGATTTAGAAATTATAAAAAAAGAATGAACATGCACTTTTTTTGGTTATAGAGTAGAAGGAACCATCTGTGTAGGTATTATTGTCTTGGCACTTGTATATAATGTTAAAATAATAATGGTTCAAGATATTACTTTAAACCTAGTCGTGATAAAATTAAATAGAAATATTTAGTTTTGCCATATGTTCCAGGTTTAACTCTTAGTTTATATAAAGTGTTTAAAAAACAAATATTTTACTATATGTTTAAACCAATAAATAAGATAAACCTAATTTTAGGTAATACTAAAGATAATATACAATTAATGTAAAGAATGGAATTTATAAAACTAAATGTGAATGCGGAAGTGTTTATATTGGACAGACAAAACGTAATTTAAAATATCATTTAGCAGAACATAAGGGATGTGTAAGAAATAAAAGGATTGAAAATTCGGACATAGCAGAATACGTACAAATAAAACACAAGATATTATGGGCAAAAAATAGTAATATTGGCTCAACCAAAGGGTATTAGAGCCAATAACATTTGTGAATCTGTACAAACAATAAAGTTTTAAAAAAGATTACAAATTATTAAATGGAGACGAAGAATTATGCAGAAATATTAATCCTACACCAGAGGTCACGTGACCTAGTTAAAAAAGTATAGATATGACAATATTATATGAAGCACCTCTCGGGTACAAAACTCTCAATAAAATCATTCTATGGTGTAATCAATGGCGAGTTATCCTAAATCCTATTAAATCTCAAGCCATCGCACTTTACAGGGAAATCATCAAATATATCTCCTCCTACATAATACTCCGATCTTACTCTCTTCGTCCACTAAATTTCTAGGTGTAAAACTAGATAACAGACTAGTTAACAGACTTCCACACCACTTCAACAATACACTAAAATTAGCAAGCAAAAGAATATTATACCCTCACCGCATTGGTGGCATGAACAAAGGATGCAACAGTCATTCAATCAAAAACATCTACAAAGCATACATCTGACCATAATACGAATATGCATGTGCAGCCATGTGTAATATAACAGACGAAACATTTAACAAATTACAAGCCCAACAAAACAAAGTCATAAAAATAGAAAGTCGACTACCTAATTATACCTCGCGAGAGTACATAGAGAGAATGACTGACCCCCCCCCCCATCATCAAAGAACGCTATTTCAAACTTGCCTCTAAATACTATAAACTAGCTGCGACCCGAAACACACACACAAAAAAACTTCCAACAAATATCATCGACACCCATCACATTGCAAGCTCACATATCGCCCAGAAACTTTATATTAAACAAGGGCGGATACGGGACCGGCGCGCTGGGAGTGCCCCCCCCCTCCCCCAGCAAACATTATAACAAATCTAAATGACCCATTTAACCCCTATCAGGGAAGTCCCGAAGATTCTTCGTTTACGTTCAGAATCATCGCACCTCCCCGTTTTCAAAATCCTGGATCCGCCACTGTTAAAACAAAATGAACACAACTTTTATTTTAGATGAATACCCATGACTCAAGAAAATACATACATTTTATTAATCACTTCATTCATTTCAGCTATTAGTAGTAGACTATTCGGCGCTTGACCGTGAAAGTGGGTTTTCTCCGGGTACTCCGGTTTCCCTCCCACATCAAAATCTTTCGGGCATAGGATATGTTATCAAAGCCCCCCTGAAAAGGACCCATACCTTCATGATACATTAAATAACAAACTATTAATTATAAACTTTTTTAAACCACTCAGCCCATCGGCTTTACTCCTAAAACAAATAAAAATGTAATAACTAGGGAGCTATTTCCTTCAAACTAGATGTGAGATGTAAAATAATATCATAACTATAATTACAAATTCATTCGTTGCTATAATCCATAACAGACGATTCATTACCAGTCTTTAAGGTATTCTTTTATCGTGGAACTTGCTTCCATGGTCACAACCTCCGTCTCCCCCGCCGCCTACGGTCACCGACTTTCACTATCTACGAAGATCTTGTCTCCTTCCAAGCCTTCCTAACTCACATATTCACAACTTCTCTTTCCTGCTGCGCGATTTCTTTTCTTCAGCTCCGATTATTGAGCCCGTTCAACCTAATCTGTCAAGATTACCAAGCCATTAATCACGCTAAGACTTTGCCAGAATAACCTTGTAAACATCGATTACTAATGTCAAAATACTATCACGCTAACTTAACTAACACTCTTTTGAGGACGAAGAGAAACATCTTGTTTCTAAGCACACCTGATTATTTTTGAAGACTTGAAGAGGCCTGAACGTTGAAACAAATACAGTCAATATTTTAGAGGCCATAGATTGGCCTGAATTAATTTTCTTTTTAAATTATGTATCTATTTTAACATTGCGTGTTATTTATTCATTGTTTTACCCTGTGTATAAATATAAAGAAGTTCATAATAACGTGAAAAGAAACTGGCACCACGTGGAAATTTACTTAAAGAAAGATCTACACAGGACTCACCTCGAAACCATGGTGGAGAAAAATTCTAGAAAACAGAAGTTTAAAGATAGCTTTTATATGCGGAAACATCATGTTAGCTGAGTTCTTGCACAGATCTTAATATATAACGTTGATAAACGGAAACATCGGCACATGTAGATCTTGAGAGTCGAGTTGTTCAAAACTTGAAAATAGCGTTGATAACTGGACCAATTGTTGGTTGAGATGTTGCAAAGGAAATATCTACTGAAGCTTTTCGCCAGACAATAATCATAGCAGAACCGTCTGGAAAATGATCTATAGGAAATAATACAGCTTATAAAATGAGTCAGATCAACGTAGGCCGGTAAGGCAATCACTGATTGGCATGTCCTTAAGCCAATCAAGAAACGTCACAGACCTACTGAAGGATGTGTAGATTGTATAGGAATTCTTTTTGGCGGCAAAGGGCAGGTTTATGTGTTTTAATAAATGTGGCTTCCAAAATATAGAGATGAAAGGTTGACAGACCATTTGCAATAGTTTTAATCCTGCTATCCATGTATTTGTCAGCACAAGTCGGGTTCACTAGGAAGTGCTGGCCAATCGCTGATTCACATTTTGGTGGTAGAACTTTTGTTTTGCAGGAGCGACATGATAAATTCTTTTCTTTCGCACTCATATTTCTTATGGATGTGGATACATGTTGTTTAATTCTATCCTGCAGTCTTTGTGAAGTGTGATCAGCGTACTGACATTCGCAGTGGCACGAG